CTCAAGTAGTTAACCGTGTTCTCTATAAGGAACTTGTATGTGTGTGTGTTTATTGCAAGTCGTCTATTGTGGTGGCGCCCCAAGCGGTCAGCCGTGTACTTTATAAGGAACTTGTATGTGTGTGTGTTTATTGCAAGTCGTCTATTGTGGTGGCGCCCCAAGCGGTCAGCCGTGTACTTTATAAGCAACTTATGTGTGTGTGTGTGTTTATTGCAAGACTTCTATTTTGGTGGCGCCCCCAAGTGGTCAACCGTGTACTCTATAATAAACTTGCATTTCTGTGTTTATTGCAAGTCGTCTATTGTGGTGGCGCCCCCAAGTGGTCGGCCGTGTACATTATAAGGGACTTGTGTGTGTGTTTATTGCAAGACTTCTGTTTTAACACGTCTATATCAGTGTTTTCTGCTGGAAGTAATTCCACATCAATGACGTATACGATCTTTATCCTGCCATGAAATTTATATAACGTTACATAACATTAAAGGAACTTTTGGTCCAGTCAGGCTGTCCTATCTACTAAACCCTCAAGGCCAACCCTTATCATTCAAATATTTATCAAGCCTTTCCTTAAATTCCCTGAATCCAAAACATCCGTAGACATCCCACTCTGTTAGAAAAATAACGCTGTCTGAGCTGAAGATGACTCCTACCCTGTGCCTCCTTGTATTACCATTCTCACCATTAAATATGAAAAAAAAGATGATACATCATCATCATCATGAATTCCGTTAACAATCCCAAACCCCTAAAACAGACCTTCTCTAACTCTTCTTTTCTTCAAAGACCTTAACTCTTATGATAACCCTTCAATCCCAGGTATCGTCCCAACAGCTTAACCCTCCTTCGAATCCTGTCCAACAATTCAATGTTATTTCTGGTGTGAGGAGCCCAAAACTGACCACCATACTCAAAATGTGGCCTAACCACTGACCTACACGATGACATTATAACCTCTTTAGACTTGTATTCAGTATTTCTGCCCATACAACCTAAAATCCTATTTGGTCTACCACTATCAACAGCACACTGCTTGGATGGCTGTAGAGACTGATCAACTATAACCTCGAGATCGTAAATGGACCGAGCACTTGACTCGTACATATTATTAAGTGCTTACATTTCAAGCTTTTCAATGTTTCTCTATTATGTTAACCGCAATGTTTCCTTTCAGCCAAATCTATATAATACATTGTATTTTGCGTCAGTTAAAACTAATACAATTATTTTGATAACTTAATTGTCAATGCTGAACTTTATAAAAAAATAAAACTGTTCTTATTTGTGTGGTGGGAGAATGTGATGAAACAAGAGCTGTGGTTTATTAAACGTGGGGATTTAGAAGATCAAAGAACGTCGCCATAGCGCAAGGAATTAACAAGTTTTTCTTTGATTGGTTCATTAAAATCTCTTTCTCTCACGACATACTCTGTACTTCAGGTGTTATTCTTTGAAAATTTTAATTTTATTAGGACTAGATCGGACCTTATTAAATTTAATGCGCATGCGCAGAAGATCGAAATAACAAACGATTTTACACAGAGTGTACTTACAATTCTGGATTTTTGGGAAGTTGAAAAAAAAAAGAACAGAAAAGGATAATCCTTGCTTCTTTATATTCTGAAAGGTTGTTAGTAGTAGTGTAAAAGTCCGACCACCAGAGGGATGCACAAGTAGCATAATTTCACTTATGTAAAAGAATTGCATCTCCGGCAACGTAACGGATTTTGTGGTTAACTGAACAAACATTGCACCTTCGGCAACGTAACGGATTTTGTGGTTAACCGAATAAACATTGCATCTCTGGCAACGTTACGGATTTTGTGGTTAACCGAACAAACACTGCATCTCCGGCAACGTAACGGATTTTGTGGTTAACTGAACAAACATTGCATCTCCGGCAACGTTACGGATTTTGTGGTTAACTGAACAAACACTGCATCTCCGGCAACGTAACGGATTTTGTGGTTAACTGAACAAACAAATAGATTTTACTAGAATGCAACACTGAATGGGTAAAAAAAAATTCGGGTGCTGGATTACTGACCCCATATGTTTGGATGATGGACTACTGACATCAGATGAACAGGAATAACCGACACCTACGAAGTATTTCGCAAAGTAGTCCTAAGAATGTGTTTTGAAAAAGTGACGTCACATAGCTAAGCCTAGATCAGAATGTTCTTGTTTTTACACCCGCCATTATGATGTATGTGACATTATCAGATAAAGTTTATCTGGATTTCCACCAATCCAGTTTTCTCTTTCTTTTCTAATTTCATTCACGTCTCTATAGCAACTGTTCAGACGAACTTCTACATTTAATAACTTTAAAACGACCTCTATCAGGGGGATTATCTTCGACACAATCAGTTATTTATAGACGAACATTTTACAAAATTCTAAATGTAATTTTTTAATCTTTTAATGGTACGTCTTAAATCTCGTCTGTTGGAACATACCTAATATAAACCGATAAAAATCCAGTATATGCAAATTAAACTTTAAACTATATCATCAAACATAAATACTGATAGTAACCTGTCATTAAACATTAGGCTTATTATATAATATTATATACGTTGTTTGTTTGAAGTTAAGCACAAAGCTACACAATGGGCTATCTGTGCTCTGCCCACCACGGGTATCGAAACCTCGTTTCTAACGTTGTAAGTCCGCAGACATACCGCTGTGCCACTGGGGGGGGGCATATTATACAGAGAAGGCGTTCACACTTTAACACTTGTTGTGAAAAAATTGTTTGTATAAATAGACATACCGCTGTGCCACTGGAGGGGGGCATATTATATACAAAAGGCATTCACACCTTAACACTTGTTGTGAAAAAATTGTTTTAATGAATAGACATAGGTCGGACTGATGAGCTTACGCCCGGCATGGCCAGGTGGTTAGGGTGCTTGACTCACAATCTGAGGGTCGCGGGTTCTAATTCCTGTCCCACCAAACAAGCTCGCCCTTTCAGCCGTGGGGGCATTATAATGTGACGGTCAATCCCACTATTCGTTTGTAAAAGAGTAGCCCAAGAGTTGGCGGTGGATGGTGATGACTAGCTGCCTTCCCTCTAGTCTTACACTGCTAAATTAGGGACGGCTAGCGCAGATAGCCCTCGTGTAGCTTTGCGCGAAATTCAAAAACAAACAAACTAACGTCTAATGGTAATTAAATTAATTATAGTCACGTTTTGCCAGCTTGAAAAAAAGGCGTTCTCACCAATATAATAATAACCTTGTTGAACACCCTGACAACAACATTGTTATAACCTTGTTGAAAACCCTGACAACAACATTGTTATAACCTTGTTGAAAACCCTGACAACAACATTGTTATAACCTTGTTGAACACCCTGACAACAACATTGTTATAACCTTGTTGAACACCCTGACAACAACATTGTTATAACTTACTTCAATTTGTTACAATACAGAGAATTTGTAAAAATATAATAGCCCAAATTCAGGATATACTCGCCCTGATTTTATTATCTTGAGAGTAAAGTCGCTTTTTTTTCTAGCTAGCAATCACTTGATTTTAAAACTTAGGAATTAATACAAACTTGATGTTTGTAAAAGTATAAAGTCTTTTTTTGTTTATAAAACTTGGCATAATATCTGATCTATTTATACAACAGAAAGAATTCTTTAAAATATATAAGAAAATCACACAACGTTAATTTAGAGTTAAACGTATGAAAACTTACTTATAACGCTATAAATCGGGTTTCGACACCCGTGCTGGGCAGAGAACAAATAACCCATTCTGTACTTAACTACAAATAAACAAACAAATTTCGGAACGCTTACCATATCTGTTTCCGATATAGATCCAAAGCTTCGGACCTCGATGTCTGTAAGTATGGTGGTTGCAGGACCTGCGGTAAAATGTAAAAAAATAATGAATGCATAAACTCTGCCCGCGAAACTAAGAATCAAACCTAATAATTCGGTTTTACAGCACGCGAATAAAATGTTGGAACGTGAGTAATTCCAAGTTGCTTTATTTTGTTGTGTTGGTAAGCTACATGTGCAGAGTAAACTATATTTAAACTTGACGATTCGGAGCAGATGTGGGGATTCTGGTGTAGAATGTTTCTTTCGTAAGCTCCTTTATAGGTATGGGGGGATTTATCCCTTGAAGTTCTAGTCATTATAGGTATGGGGGAAATTTATCCCTCGAAGTTCTAGTCATTATAGGTATGGGGGAATTTATCCCTCGAAGTTCTAGTCATTATAGGTATGGGGGAATTTATCCCTCGAAGTTCTAGTCATTATAGGTATGGGGGAATTTATCCCTCGAAGTTCTAGTCATTATAGGTATGGGGGGATTTATCCCTCGAAGTTCCAGTCATCACAGTGTTAAGAAAAAATCGTTTGGTGATTTCATGAAACCTTATTTGCCAGAAACAAAAGCATTATTAACTAAATAAAACTGAACATTATTCATCTCGCTTAACTTGGACAATGAATTAATGTCTTAAATAAGATTAATCAAAGAAGACATTAACGTTTTTGACTTGCACAGTAATTTATTTGTAAAGTTTAAAAAAATTAACGTCTTTAGAACTGGTAGAGATTGATAGAGGTTATGAACCTAAATTCATAGATAGGATGTATAGTAAACATCAAATCACTGGATGTACTAAATTAGATATAACAAAAAAGGGAGGTAATGAGTTTAGGCCAACTATGAATTTCCAAGTAATATTTACTCCTCAATTAAAATTAACTCATCTAATTAATGGTTTGAAAGATAAAATTGAATTAATTGATAAATGTGGTATGTATAAAATTTCACCGGCTAAGTTATATTGGACAGTTTTTTGGTTTTGAATTTCGCGCAAAGCTACACGAGGGTTATCTGCGCTAACCGTCCCTAATTTAGTAGTGTAAGACTAGAGGGAA